CCTTAGATCAGTTTGAAGAATTGAATGGTCCTATAGAGACAAAGAATGGATCGGAAGGTGAGATGGGAGATCAAAGACAACTCTCCTCAAAAAAATCAAAAAAAAGAAGGATCTTTAAAATTATATAAGAGGACTGAATAGGAGAAAGTAGTGTATCACTGGGGAGGAGGAGGATTATGTGACAGTCGTAGCCTGTAGATATCTAGGCGCTTGTCTCTTCCCAATGATGCACTCTAATTGGTCTAAACTCGGCATAAAGTTAATCCGGGATTCCGTACTCTTTGTAATTTCTATGTAGCAATGAGAGTCTTCTCTCTTTAGATTAAATATAACTTATAATTCACCACAAGCAGTACGCTTCCCCTGACACCCATCTCATGCATAATGTAAGATAGCAACCTCTTGCCTGCCACTCTTGTCTTGATCTTGTCTCGATTCTTGTCTCTGCTCCGCTGTCTACATGCTGCTTCTGACACGCCCATCTTTACAAAGCAGTAGTCAGATGTTGGGCCTGACAACGGTGGAAATAGCTGAGTCGCATGACTACCTTGGCGAGTGAAAGTAATCGCGCGGGGCCAGATTTCTATTCCTCCAAATGGTATATGGCTATTTTAGCCAGGGTGACTTTTTGTTATAAAGCCTCCCTCTTTCTTTCTCGTCCATGGCTCCTGTACCATGACTACATGTGCACCGGCATCCCATGCCTGCTGCAATGCTATATTCGTGTTTTCCCCATCTCTTCCTATATTCACGTGGTGAAAGTGGACGGTGTTATTTTTTTTTTTTATAAATTTTAGGTCCTAAGCTATGCTCTATATCTCCTAGGAGTCAAGGACCGGTGTACACGGCCAAGATCATGCTTCCCACATGCCCGACTCGGTCTCACTGCGTGACCCACTACACAACCAGTAGCTAGTTATAAGAAAGAATATAAATGCTCCCACAGACTCCCATAACCAAAATTCCAAATCCAATACTCCAATTTGAGGTGGGAAAGCAACACTCCTCGTCTTGTTTTCCTTCCTGTCATGCTTCGTGCTATGACCTAGTTAATGTTGTCTCCGCTGAGAGCTGGTGACGGACTTGCAGGTGAGTCGCCGAAGCAGCCGGTTTCCTGCGCAAAATTTGTAAAATCCTCAAGGCACTTAGGCCCGAGAAGCTTTTGGACAAAGTCGTGATGTGACATTGTCCCTCGGAGTCGACGCGTCTGACGTTCGTGCAGTCGACAGTGAATGAAGTGGAGTGGACGGTGTTATGTTTGTCTTTTGGTTCTTTTGTTGAGGGGTTTCCTAACATTAACACGACATTGTTGAGTCCTAGGAAATGACGGTTTCAACCGCCTTACCCTTCCTTTCTGAGTACGCTAGAGCAGCGTGATAATCATGATGTCCGCGTTCTCTGATGATATGATGTTCTGCAGGGGTACGGAGCAGAATCATCCCATTTTGTCGTCTGGGCCGGGCCATACAGCTGCCCTCATTTAAGTGGTAGGGTTCAGCATAATTTGAGCACTTTGACACCTTGGCCTAGCACTCTGATGTCTCATGGGTTCCCCCACACCTCCCACATCGTTGGCTCCGGGTTCAGGACCGCGTTGTGTGGAATCCCCAGCAACGTTGGCATTGCTCGATCGGTCGTCGGCGTGAGAAGGGCATTGCCGGCCCGCTCTCGTCAAATAGACTAGACTTTGTGTTTGCTGGTTTTTGTTGGAAATGAACAATCCAGCTCGTTGAGTATTGGCCAAGTTTTGTTTCTGTGGGCCTTGACTGGATTGGTGTGGCACCACATACTGCTTGGCATTCGTTCTTCACCATGTCGTTGGTGACTGGAATGCTACCTTCGAGCGTCCTGATGTACAATGGCACATGAGGTACGATCAATGATGTCCATTTGGACGCTTCCTCAATCACAGTGTTTTCTTCCTGTAGGGAAGGTGCAATCCTCATGATTGTATCTCTCAATGCGTCTGATGCGCATTCGAGAGCGATCCCTGACCTGACTGGGTACATGGACGTGATAGCGGAAGTCGCTATTCCAGCCTTGTCTGTGTTTATTTTCTTGATCGTGACTGGTGATAACTTGTGCCAGTGGTGATCTTTCCTCAGTCGTAGGAACAAGCGCTTGTCCTCCTTTGAGGCTGTCTGGGGTTTCGGGTTGCCTGTTGGTGCAGGCCTTCGCGGAATTTGCACGTTTGGCGGCGTCGGTAGCTTGGCCACTTTGCGGGCTACTGTCACCCAGGGTGAGCTGGTGTCTTGAGGCTTTGAGGATAGGGCGTGGCTGTGATCCTCAACAGCTTTGATGTTCCTAGGCGCGACTGGTTTAGGAGTGCTTGCCATGGTGGGGGGCTTCTTACTTGGAAAGTTTGTTACTTCTACCTGAGATATTGCGAAGGCAGTGATCACAGGTGTGATGTTTTCCAGCAGAGTCGCGACAATTGCTGCTGCTTGCTTCTCTCCTTTGCTCTTAGCCCAGGAGTCGATTAGTTCAAGAAGTTCCTGGGCTATACCCAATCTTTCTTCTGTTTGTTGTTCTGCTTTTTGCATTGCGTTTACAATGCCAAGCAGGCTTGGATGGAGTTACCCTCCTGGATTGGAGGGCGTTGTCGATGACGATGTAATAGCTGGGGCCATTGCACCGGTTGGAGATTCTTGCAGAATGGGTAATGAGTAATGCAATATGGGATGGGTAAAAAAAAATCGCGGTTGGTGTGATTTTGAAAACCTTTCGATGATTTATTTATCGTGCCAGGCTTACACCCTCCATCCAATGGACATGACACGCATGGAGGACATCTAGAATACAAGTTCCCCCATTCTCCAGCAAAGCCCATCCGGTGCCTGACTTTTCCAAATACGTGCCTCACGCTAGTAACATCGGGTCGAATAGGTAGGAACGCATTCAACATGATCCTAAGACCATGTATTGTGGGAAAACCTCAATAATTCCTCCTGTACTCTTTCACGGCGAGCAGCCGTAGTCCCCCCTTAAACAGGCCGTGTAGGAATCCAACCTACCACTTCTAGAAAGCACATCCAGCACCCGACCAACTGTGCCAATAGCTAGTTGAAAATCACATATCTTTCTTCTCAAATTCTCCCCTACATTGCGCTCAACCTCCATTTGAGAGGGCTGAAATTCCGAAATCGAGAGCTCAAAATCGAGGCATCGGTGCCCCAGCTTTTGTCGTACATTTTTCGTTGTCTGAGTGAGGCTTCTTAGTTCGCGCCGTTTTTGGAATGTGTCGAAAAGTTGAGAATGTTGATGTCGCAGTCGAGGTGCTTGTCTAAAATGAGGCCGAGCAATTGCTCAGTCCTGCACACGATGTTAGTAAGGTTGAAAGCGCAAGGAAATTTCCCTTTGATTTTGGAGAGTTGTTGGTGAATCGTAAAGTCCTCCCAGTCAAACTCAATCGGGAAGTTGTTAGTAGACTGAACAGAAGAGACCCATACTTGAACTTTTGATCTATTGTGCCGGGAACGGAACCTAGCCCATGTGTCAATCGAAATCGACTGGGCCACGCTCAGCAAGCTGCCGTTGCGAAGGATGCGATTCTTCTTGGCTATCCCAGATATGCAGAGCATACTGAGCGATTACACCAGCAACACTGGAAGGTGAATAATTCGACTTTGCCGGCGAAAACCTTTTGAATTTGAATTTAATTTCATTTAACCCGATCAAGCACCCTATGGGTCCATGCACGTGACTATCTCCATCATTTACTAAGGAGGAAACAAATTTGGTGAAAACTCCCTAATCCTGTCTGTTTATATTCCTGTCAATATGCTTAGTTTACCTTCAGGAAGTGCAGTGCATACAGTATAGCCAGCGTGGATTCCGTCTTCTCCCCTTCCTGATCGTTTTATTCTATCCGATACTGCTAGCTCGACTTCCCCTGCGAGTCGAAACCGCTTTATCCACCCTTTGCTTAGTATCCACTATATGATTCTAGCCACAACTTCTAGGCTGTTAATCATTGCTTCAAATGGCCTGTCTTTAGCTTGTCGGAGAAAGTTGCCTGTTCCATTTGCCCACTGCGGACACGCCAACACCATATGCTTAACGTTTTGCGACGGATATCCACATTGACAGCTTGGCTTTTCTACTCCGGGTACTTTTCTTTTACACAGGTAAGAATTGAGTCCGATATGCTCGCTTCTTAGCTGAATGGCGACACTGGTTTGGGCCCTGGTTAGGTTACTGTGGATATTTAAGGGTGTATCTTTGAAATTAATTTTGTTGATGCCTATTTGTTCATTAGTAATTATTCTTGCGGCTTTCAAATGTTCTAGATCGGCTAATTCTGGTCGGCCAGGGCGTTATTTCCTGTTCTGACTTTTCCATGAATTCTTCCACTCCTGAAAGGCCACTATCTTCCCAGCTTCTTTCTGCCTCCCTTTATCCTTTTACCTTCCGCATGTTTTTGTCCATTCGGCGATATCTCTACTCTTTTTCAATGCATCCGGAGTTTCTCTCCCGTTTACGGGAAGCTTTATCCCCTTAAATTTCGATCGTATTATCTGATGGTCCGGCGTGCTGGACCATCCTTTGTTTTAGGTATATCTCTATAGGAAGGACGGACGATTCGTGCTCTAGCACTCTGCCGCTAGTAGAATTGTAGGCACCTGAAACAAGCTTTAAGCATTTTCTTTGTATACTTCTGAGAGGTTTCACTATCCTTTCAGGTATCCTTCCTGTTGGCCCGTCAAAGAATCTTTTCTTTTCCATTCTAGATAAAGATTTCCTTAGTTTAATGGTGGTATTCCTAAAAATGGTTCACAGGGAGGTACTCGCGTTTTGTGTTGTTTACAACCCTACAACCCTACAAATCCATAAACTCACAGATCACATAAAGGAGTCAATCTTTTCTCAGTAGTTATAGGTATTACGCATGAAGATTCAGTGATTTTCGAGTCTACGGAAAGCAGCAAACGAATATTTTATTTCCCCTGACTACCAACGTGCTCAGGGCCTCAATATTTTTGACATGAATCTATTAGTTCTTACGATTCCCCAAAATCTTCATCGTTTTCGTCATCATCGTCCAATACTTCTGCATACTCCTCCATCGAAGCGAATGTGGGAAGATTTTTCATCATCTTTCTTTTCGTTTTACTGTTTCTGCTAGATGACTTTATTGCTTCTTGAGCCCCTGCTTTAAGCTCCTGATTAAACAGACCATTCATCTCAACGGAGTCAGCATCGCTAGAGACTGCTTGCTTTTCATCATAGATGGATTCGCTTTCTGACGAGTCTTCTAAATTATCTCCGAGTTCAAGTTCAGATGAGGAACCTTGATCATCTGATTCATCAATCTCACTCATATCGACATCACTTTCAATGCCTTCCATATCAGGCTGGGACTTCACCAATGCTTGCCATATTTGATCTTCATCTCCGTCACTATTATCAACCACCATGTCTTTCCGAGTCTTCTTGTTATTAGGTTGTTTGTGTTTTCCAATTTGCCTAAAGTATTTGTGAAAGAAAACTTCATCAACAGCGACGTCTTCAATTTTCTTTTGCCAAAAGGCGTCATGATTTAGGGGTAGCTGCGCATGGTTGTCAAGTTTACTAGATATAAGTAGAGCGTTGTTTTCACTTCCAGCGAGGGGTTGCATGATCGAGCTTCCCTTTGGTCCGCTCGAAGCCGATTTAGCATTACGATAAACAAAGCGATCAAGGAAACTCGAGAGTGTATGTGATGCAAGTTGCGGTTTTGGCGGTGCTTTTCCATCGTAAAGGAGAGATGATGCGAAAAGGGAGACCGAGGGGTGAAAATGTGAGATGAAGGGAATCTAAATTCGTTTAGCTATCTTCAACTTGTGCAGTTTAAATACGTACAATCTCCCACAGGCAACTATTTTCAGCAAAGCTATATTGTGGATCTCTTTTTTTACCATCGTATTTTTTTGTAGCGGAAGACTTTTGATCTTGCTGGGTTATATTTCTTTCGTCAGCCACATCGTGGTAAGATTCCTCGCCATTGTCGTCATCTTCTGGATCTGTGCAAAGTGATTTAATGCCGGGAAAATTTGTCTCAATTTCTTTCAACAGAAAAAGTATTCCACATATAAAGGAAGGTTGGTGCAAAGTAATGACCTGCATCATGCGTTTGGCGAAGGCCTTCACTCGCTTGATATCTGTGTCTGCTTGGAGCGATTTGTAAAGTAGATTAAGGTACATGGCGTGCTTGGAAGAGTTGATAAGACGTGGATCAAGAAGTGATTCATAAAGTGTTCTATAAAAGCGGTCAAGCGAAAGACTTTTTTTCGTAGCTAGCTGTTGTATGAGCACTAAAGCCTGAATACTGGTGTTGAAGTTCGAAGAGTGTGTAATCCTGAATAGGGTATCCATGTGGCTATCTAAACTGGTTTCGTTAGATAAACTTGAGGGAATGAAGTTTATAACTTACACACTGTCAGACTTGGAGAATGGAAAGGCTCGGTTGACACCAGTCAAAATAGCTGATATCATCTTCTCTTTTGATTCGCTTGCCAAGTTGGAATCCATCTCTTTAGCCAACTTCGCTTTTGCTTTCTTTCCCATCTGACCACCACCACCTTGAACTTGTCCCTTGCGGTTGACCACTGGCGCAGGTACTGTGGAGGACATTTGGATATCAGGTTTCATTAATGCAGTAACAAACTGCTCGAAATAGATTTTGAGGAGTTCTTTGGCAACATTTTCTTCCTTGGCACTTAAAATTGTTTGGTTTAAGGTATTAATTGCATAGTACCTAGCGTGCATACTCTGACCAGGACGCAGTAAAAGCTCAGTTTCAATAGATCGAATAATAATTGGCTTCATGAAAGGATGATAGATCTGTAGTTGGAGAATGAGATAGGATGCACGAGAAGATATTTTTTTGTTTGGGTCTCCAAGCTTGTTGACTAATAGTCGGAGAAGGTTTGCTTCCTGTTCAGGTTTATCCTTTAAAAGTTCGTAGATGTAGGTAACAACTCGTGATCTTGCATACTCTACCTCGTCGTTACACCAGTTCTCTAAAATTTTGAGTATTTCAAAGTAAGATTGCTTAAGCCAGTCTTCATATGCCCAGGAAATTAAATGAGCCTTCGATATGTCCCCTGGTAGATTTTGTCCTGCTTTCCAGCTAGATCTGCAATGTTTAGAGAGGGTGCTAAGAAGTCCAGGCTGACATTCAAATTTTCTGAGGCGCCTATCAGATGGTAATACAGCCCCAGTACCGAGAAGATCTTTTAAAGCAGCTAAAGCAGTTACTGCTTGCCCACGGCTCCGCTTTTTAGCTAGGGCAATTAGACTCTCAAATGATTTTGTCGTGTGAACGGGTGATTCTTGTATGACTAAGGTTAATGCCGAGATTTTGTCAGATAGAGTTCCTGAGGTCATAATAGTTGAAAGAAATCTGTGCGATGAAGACGATGAGAGATTCTTCGAAGTGTACAATTGGTTTTCAGCTTCTAACAAAGAGTCGGCATATTTCTTTAAGCTCGATATTGAATCTGTATGAATGGTCATGTCTTGTGCTATAGATGGTGGAAGTGTGGGCAGCGGGGCAGTGTGCCAATCAGGTCGTGCTTCAAAGATCTAAAAAAGTCAATCCTGCTTCACAGTTACGAAAGGATGCTAACTAGACGATTATGATCATTTTTAGGAACATCACGAGCTGATATCGAGGGGTTTGAATTTCTTGTGGATTTTGGATCTTTGTTCAGCGAATATGAAATCGTATTATTTTCTCTTTCTTCATCTTCCGGTTCGTTTTTGGGTGTATCGTTTTCGGGTTCGTCATAATACTGTTGAATTTCTAGACCAGCGACAAACTTGGCAAGCACTTTGTTGAATGATTTATCAACATGGGATTGATTCGCTGGTTCTGTTACCATTCCTTCATCGTCAGAAATAACATTCCTGACAAGCTCAAGATCTTCATGAGTGCCACCGAGAGCAATTATCTCATTCAGAAGTATATCTTTTGAGTCCAGCTCCTCGATTTCAACCTGACTCTGTTCACTTTTTTGTCTTTTACCGGGGCTCTTTGTACAATCTTCTAATCCTCTTTTAGTTGCCTTGGTGAGCTCTGGTTGTCTCGCATCACGCTTTGTTTTTTTATTTTTCATTTTCTTCTTGAGTGTTTCATTCTTGAGTTCTCTGTTGGACGGTAATATTTTTAATCTATCTTTTTGACTTTGTTCTGATTTTTGTTTTTCTAAATTTTGTTCGATTTTAGTGGTCAGTGCAGAGAAAGCCATGTCATTCAACTTCGGAAATTCTGAGTCGTTCATAACGTCACGGACTAGCGGTACATGTGATGAGCTAGGCTTACGTTTGACCATCGTTATTTCGCAGCAAACCTGAGAGTATGGGGTTGTAAGGGTAATAGGGAAGTAAGCAGTGAGAAATTTGTTTGTGATTAGATAAGAACTTGTAAGCGTTATTCGGTGTTCGCGCCGATTGGTCGCGTACAACCTATGCCATGTTACTAAACAACAAAGTTACCAATTGACATCTGATTTCGAGGCAATGAATTAGGACAATCTTGAAATAGAAAACGTATATCACTCTCTGAATTGCAGAATGATATACTCTATTCATGGATCTCAAATGAGGCGGACTTCGAGTTGTGGAAAAGTATTTTGTCATCCTCGAATACAACTCCGTAAAAACTATCAACAGGCACCTTACAAAAGTCTAGTAAGCGTCGTAGTATCTCTAGAATTTTAACTAAAGATTTGCCTCTGACCTATAAAAGATAGATAACCGCGCACGACTTTCCAAAATATGGATTCCAACGGGAGGTATCGCTGCAACACAAGACGAAGGTTCGGCCTGGTTTTAGTCGAGAATGAGATTTCAATTCTAACATTAAGTAGATTCGCACGCGAAACTAATCAGAGCAGGAATCCTGCGTCAAGTGAGTCATCTAGATCACCTATTAGGTTTCTAATGTAATAACTTGGTTTAGGCACATTCAGGTATATTTCACATGCTACCTCTTGGCCGTCGAGTGCAACAGAAACTAGAGGCTCTCATTGACCGTCATATGTTTCGACTAGGTAAGTCATAGACTTATCAGCTCCTCGAAACAGAAGACTCAAAAAATCTGAAGACCATAGGGGCATCAAGACTCTCCCTGTCGTCTATTTCGTCTGAAGATCTGTGGTCAAGAAGTGGCCGACTTAATAAAGCCGGCTCTGAGGTATAACAATGTAACCTTCACCCGATACGTGTACTAATATCGGAAAGCTTTTCAGGTTTGAGGATAGAAAATCTGCAAAATACCTCCTCTCACCAACACATGAAGAAGAGATAACCTCACTTGTCTCCAGCACTGTCAAATCTTTCAAGGATTTTCCAATTCGTTTATATCAAATAAGTGAAGTTATCCCATATTCCAGTGTCAGCCTTCACTACTGATAATACCCAGCTCGCAAATATCGAGATGAGCTTAGACCTAGATCCGGGCTCCTTCGCTCAAGAGAGTTTACAATGAAGGACCTATATACATTTGATTTTAGTCCTTCGTTAGCCCTCCTTACATACCACAAAGTCAGAGAAACATATATTGACATATTCAATGAGCTGAAAATTCCTTATCTTCAAGCAGAGGCAGATTCTGGCGACATCGGTGGGAGTCTAAGCCACGAATTTCACTTCCCAACATCAACGGGCGAAGATCATGTTTTCACCTGTTCACAATGTGACTATGTGGCTAACGAAGATTTGGCTGAGACTATCATCCCAGAAAGAACCAAGTCTGATGTTTATATATCTAACCTGTCACATCCAATATCAAACACCCAACTTTGGCGTGGATTCTCCAGGGATAAGTCAACGCTTATAAACGTTTGGTATCAAGAGCCTGGACCTTCTCTGACTGCCCAAGGCTCATCTAGAATCAGCTTCGGTTCGCTTAAAGCTATCTATCCAGAGTTTGATACAACCATAGATGACGCATCAGTATTGCTCTCGAGAAACCAAGTGTCTAAAAGCTTGGTCCAGGAAAAAAAAATACAACCAAATATACAAAAGATAATAAACTTTATAGATTGTCGCGTCAATACTCCCACACTCGAAGCTGTTGTAAATAATGATCCTAGGCTACCTATAATCCCTCCCTCACTCGGAGACCCCAATGCTCGGCTTCAGATAGAAAGCAGACACAAAGACCCATCTACTGGAAAAGCTTACAACTTGCTACGTCTTCAAGATGAAGATTTGTGTCCCCGATGTAATGGCGGACATTTGAAGCTTCATAAAGCCATCGAACTCGGTCACACATTTTTTCTCGGAACTCGATACAGTGAACCGCTAATGGCGACCTTAAATGTGCCTGTCGAAGTACTCGAGAGGGAGAACATGACTCTCAGATGTCTCTCAGATAAACAAACCAAGTCTACAGAGAAAGTTTTCATGCAAATGGGATGTTATGGGATTGGCATGTCACGCTTAATAGGAGCGGTTGCAGATACATTAGCCGATAAAAAGGGGTTGAACTGGCCGCGTGTAATGGCGCCCTATGAGGTTGTCATAATTTCGTGCAAGGGCCTCGAGGTTGGGGCCGAAGAAGTTTATGATAAGCTGAGCGAAGCTGCAATATTGAAGCCATCTCAAGCGTTTGACTTAGTCCTCGATGATCGAAAGCAATCGTTTTCCTGGAAAATGCAGGACGCTGATCTGGTCGGGTACCCAGTTATAGTTGTTATTGGAAGAAAGTGGGGATCAGATAAAGTCTGCGAAATCCAGTGCCGTCGTCTAAACGTACGGAGCGAAGTTTGCATCGAGGATTTAAACGACACTGTGAACTCTATATTAATGCAGCTTTAGAGTAACTGTAGGCTGTTGTATTAGTTTGCCAAAAGGAGCGCTCTGTTCATTCACACGAGTACTACTGCTGCAATTTACTGAAGGCAAAAAACCAAAATTTAAGTCTCAGCTCTGAACAATCGCTTGTGAAGGCTCTGTCCCTTAATGGCATAAGAAACACTCAACCCTTTTGGGAACAGTGCTAACTTGCTCATAACTATTAGGCTCGGTAAATTGAACAAATATACCGACACCAAGATTTAGCTTGGAAAGCTTATGTATTAGTGCAAGTGTGGAGATGAAGCAAGGGACATGATCGCAAATCCTATGAATAATAAATTTCTAGGTTAGATGAGAAATTATGAACAGAGTAGAGGCAGAGTAAACACTAGCCAACAGAACAAGAGCTAATAATGTGTTTTGCTCAGCATATTCCCCTGAACAGAATGACGGGGAACAAGCTTTGATCCCATCAAGCTTTTAATTCACGTTCAACACACTTTAGACACATGACTGTAGTTGTGCCTTCGACTTGCTTGGGATAGAAGGAGCCTTCCAAAAAGCCATCTTTACAGGTTGAGCAGCGGAAACACTTCTCGTGCCACTCGCCACCGAGCGCTTGCACGTACTCGCCGATAACTGCTAGGTTACACTTTTTGCATTTGGGCGCCTGTCGTTCTGTCCGCTTTGTTTGACAACTGAGGCACCAAGCATAGCCATCCTTCTCTATGTGGGTCATTCCCTTGTCAAATGGTTCGCCGCATTCTGCACAAAAAAAGTGCCCATAATGCCAGTGCTCTCCCAACGCCACGAGATGTTCACCGATGATGGGAGTTTTGCAATGTTTACATTTTGGCGCAAATTGCTCATGATAGTCGAGATGACAGTAGTAGCGATACCTTTCATCCCCGTCATCTATGTCAACTTGTTCCTCAGAAGTTGGGACATTCTCGCCTTTTAAACGACGTCTATGTCTCTCCATTCGTTCTGATCGCCTGAAAATGGGCTCTTGGTGGATTTCGAGAGATTCTAATCCTGTCCCGCAAGTAAAGCATCTGAAACACTCGGGATGATAATGCTCGCTTGCACCGCTTAACTTGAGTACTCGTCCTTCAATGGGTAAGTTACATTGATGACAAGTGGCAGTCGCTCTGTATGCTGCCGGTGACCAATGACCACGACAATTTTTAGAAGTTTGAGCTGCAGATTGACTGGTAGACGATTTGGGGAACGGAAGTGGTCTTGCTGGCTGATTATTAGATAAATAGATACTGTCGGACTTTACTTTAATCGTAGAGGGTGCTAAAGGAGAATGATCCGGACTTGTATTGATTTCTGATTGACGACGGTCTGACGTAACGGGGGTCGTTATTTCCGGAACATTGCAAAAAGCTGAATGCTGATTCATCTCGCCCGATGACGAGCGTGGGGAAAGGCCGGCCGACGAATAGGCTGAGCAAGGCGCCGTAGCTGATCGAGTATTCGAATTTTGTGGGTGTTGGTCGAGGTCACATCGGTCAGGGGTAAATCTTCGTACTTCTGGCTTCAAATCAGCCTCCTTTGGCTTCCAATTCGAGTCAAAGCTTACTATGGGACGACCCAGCTTATCGCTTACAACAGATGGAACAGGAAGTTTAGTACTCCGATCCTTAAGACGCATACAAGTAGCCCGTCGAATTTCTTCGCTCCTTAGCTCTAATCCATCTCTTATCGATTCCTTTGAGTTCTGGGCTATTTTCACAGGTAGACATGATGTTTTATCTGGAGGAGGGTTTTGTATGTATCCTAGGTTTTTAGGTTTCAAGGAAAAATTCAGAGAAGTTTCAAGACACGATGTTCTCTTGGTAGATTGTGGGGAAATATCGCTTTGAATTAGTACTGGCCCTGGTGCGAACTGCACACGGTTTGGAGGGTTTTTGGGTTTAACGCACAGGGAAGCTTTCGGGATGCTAGCATCTTGTTGTCGACCACGCAAGTGCTTTTCTTGCTCTTTCTCATCTTCTTCCCAAATCTGATTGCCGTCAAAGGTACTGACAGCCCTTTCGCCGCTAATATTTCTCTTTATGAAATTTTTTTTCCTTGCAAAATTCAGGGCATTCTGACCTTCCGATGTTTTATCCTGGGTCTTGAAACCACTTCCCGTTGGTCCAAAATTTTTGGGTGACTCAAACGAGCCATTAGAGTGATAGTCTGGAATATTTCTATTGGTAGAATCTTTCTGTTGGACATGCTCTGATGTACCATTAAATTTAATTTGGGACTGTGAATTGATATTATCACTACCACTAGAGCTGCGCGAAGTAGAGCGGCGCCGGTCTGTCACATTCCATGTAGAGCCAGAGGTGGGTATCTTTTCACTGTGACGATGGATACTTAGAGCCCTCGCATGTTGATAACTATTCTTGCGGAGATGATTCTTATATCGGTACGGCTGATCAGCCTTCGGGATATGGTCTGGATTTTGGTGCTGCCATACCAATTCAGAGGCTTCTTTTTGAGCTGCTGTATAGATCCGTGATTCCTCAGATTCTGCTTTCAGCTTCATATCTTGCATGGCCTCCCTAAGGGCAACTGCATCTTCTCGCTCCATCCATCTTTGGCCCCTCTCGATGTAAGTGGCACTGGGGACTATTTCAGAAGGCTTGGGGAGAGGAGCCTGTGAGTCAAGTGAAGGTTGCTTTGCCAACTGACGGCCTTTGCTTGTATTCGTAGCAGAGTTCAAATTTGGTAAAGATGATTGCAAACGGCGGTTGGATGAAAAGGCATTACTGGGTTTTGGAGATTTCTGAAGTGGTGGTGAGCCCGATCTATCATGTAATACATTGCTTTTAGCGAGGGGTACATCTTTGTCAATAGATTTTTTCCGGATGTCTGATGGAAATGGTCGGGCGCCATATGGTCTCACTATTTGCTTACTTCTGAGGTTCTTGAGATAGTCGGCTGCACTTCGTTAGGTTGACTAAAAGTACTAATTCATACTCCAATTTTGATTGCGACAAATAGAGAGCTTACCAAATTCTTCGTTTGACATATATACAGGGCCAGGTGATGGAGTATTCTCACGGTCCTTGGACCGTCCGCGAAGTGGCATGGTCTAAATTTATCTTCCTTTCTTTGAATTTGAAACTTAATATGTGGTTTTAAGAATACTTGGCAGAATAAATATCTATCGGAGGGATGTGAGAGTAAGGGATTGGGTATAGGTACAAGGATGAGTTTGAAGACAACATGGTAGGAGGCTCTAGGTTAAACCCACAAATTTGGTAGATCAAAATAGACTATGACGTTGCTGACCCAGCAACGGCCGTGACAAGAACCCTAACGCAATGATATTCATGCTGACTGAATGAATTGCGGGGCTGATCAATCTGAAGAGGATTAAATATAAGATGTTTGGAAACTATCAGCATTTGGGAATTGAACTGTTGTATATCACATACAATTATGACCACGTGGGCGTCTATCTATCTTGGTTATCTACGAGAGCTTTGACTACATAACTTCTGTTACATATAACATTTCTTGACCCCAGAATGTGCCGACGAATCTTCGCTTTCCTCAGATAAAAATTGGCCGCCACCAAAGCGATCCGTGTAGGCGATGGTGGCAAAAAGAATTCGCGGCTATGATTTAGAACTACTGGCATCTAAATGTCTTACTCCCCTGACCGAGCGCATGTGAGCCAGATTTGAATTGTTAAAGTGTGACTTGCGTGGAATTCACATCAGACTCTTCAGTGGTTTATAATTGACCCAATTCGTGGATAGATCAAGTGGCAGGCTCGTTTAGAATATAAGTCGTGATGCCATATGAAGATGATGTTGAGCGGAAGTGATAGCTGAAATGTTTGTTCAGCTGTATAATTTCAAGTGGGTGCCTAGGATAAAAGATAAGGTTTTTTTCTGTGTATTATCATTGGAATCTATGGTATAGACAATAGTATCTTCGAATCCAGATTGCAATGATAAAGGTAGTGGTGGGTGCTTTGAATGAGCGAGTATGTTGAAGACTTTCATGCCAAGCTTGTTTAGGCAATTTGACCTGCTACTCCAAACCCGAGACCCGCGATTATGCCTGCGGTGGCAAAGGCTCCCATAGTCTGTCTGGCAACATTGTTAGCGGCAGTGGGGACCATGTGATTTTGTCCAAATTGATTGCAGTTAGTGCTGACAATTCCGTAGCAAGCCTGGGAGCTCAAACTACTGCAAATGCTAGTTGCACTCGCTAGGCCTAGGTTTTGTGCCGAAGGCGACATGGTGATACCGCCAGCAGGTGCAATTATTGTCACACCATAGTTTGAGCCCTGAAGATTGGCTGCACATGCAGCGTAATTCGTTTGGCATGCACTGTAGGCGGATAGGCAGGCAGTACGATCTGCATAAGTTGTGGGAATATAAGGAAAGGGGAAGTAGGCATTCACTACAACCGAGTCTGTAGATGTTGGAGATGTAAGAATTCCGTTGGAGGTGATTGTGACGCTAGGCGTGTTGGTCGGTTCCTCGGCTGAGTTACCGAAAAATGCGCCCTCCGTTGTCGTGGAGGGTTTATCAAGCCTTCCCGTGCATTTAGCACCTATGGTGCAACAGGCGACACGGTGTGCGCCATCTGTTGTACACAGAGAACTAGTTGAGGGTGAGAAGTTAGCCCTCACATTCGGTTTGAAAAATTTTAACCTCAGAGGTTGGTTGCCATCAATTCGCTGAAGTTATTTATTCACTTACCCAGATTCGCAACAGGCTCCTCCGAATTCTGCAGCTAAGGTAGAGCATGAATTGTAGTTAATGGGACAATTCCCATCTCTCTTAAGTAGGATGTTTTCTTCTTTCTTGCTTGAAGATATGTTGGAAAGTGAGATAGGATCCTGGAACGGCGGATCAAAAATGGAAGAGAAAGACCAGCTGAAATAGAATGAAGACGCTGGGACTGCAAAGAGCAAGTAGAGTTGAGCAGTGATTTTCATAATCGAAGAATTTGTCCAAGAAATTAGGGTAACGGTGATTGCGTAGACTTATTAGTTGAAATATCAACTTTGCAAGCGCTTCGTACCACTTTCTTGGTGGGCAGCCGCTTTATGTCTACTCATTATTGTGTCTCTACTCGCAGCCTTCATTGCCGCTCGAGAGTTTGGCTGATATTCTAGTTGCTATAACAACCCGAAAAGGCCCTCTTCCTTTAGGGATGTGAATCTCCTTACAAACGAAATGACAAATCGGAGGTCAAGACTGAACATTTCTACGCTGTGTTGTCCACGAAGCTGGGAGTAACTTTTTCTCTCAGAGCCAAGATCAGTCAAATTTCGTAATACCGAACAAGTTGGCCCACGAGGCAATGATTTAAATTACTTTACCACGTCAAATTTTCACTCCCAATAAGTTTGACTCCTATCTAAGTCTCATCAACTCTACAAGTGCGACCAAGTACATCCTCATTCTAACGACCATACCTCTTGTCGACCTTCTCTGGCCTTAGCTGGTCACCAAATACACGCACTCGCCAATAATTATACCCGACGAAGGAAATAAAGCGTGGCGCACAAAGCTGGGAGACAGGTCTTTGGTATGGAAGTAAGAGAGATCAGGACATATCTACAAGATGATGCAGGGGAAGGATACAAACTTGACGTGAGTGAGACTTGGAATTTTGGCAATAAATTTTTCAAATTGAAGAGCATCGGGTGAATCAAGCTTTCGGTTACGAGAATGTATCTGATATTACAAACATAAGCCAAAAATAGAATATGCTGTGGTCCGTCTCCTGGTGGAGCTCTCTTGTTTAGTTAGAGTAGCTATGGCATTTACTCTACTTTTGAAGGAGACACCTCAGATTATATTTCGCACTGATAAAAGTAAATGGATGATGGAGATATGGCTGGATAACCCTGAGTTTTTGAGACGTTTCCCTGGGTCTGTATTTACTGATGCGGGCTGAGTTGAGTGAAGAAAAAGTCATCATGTACTCGCTATGGTACTTGCTAATGAAATCCGAGGCGTAAGTGCGCTATGTTTACACTGAGTCTTCAGCTCCTGATAGACATTGGGGATCAAACGAAAAATGCAAAGTGGAAGTACGTTGATATTGTCTCAACACCTCTACTTCTCTCCGGCCTTGGTGCTATTCACCAATCTAAGACTAATTCTGGGGAAGAATATTTTCATCCCGTTTCCCCAAATTACAAATGAACTAAATAACATGTTCTGGAGATTAAAATATCTCAGGTTGGGTCTTCGCACATCCAGAACATCTCGATCACTATATCCTTGGTGAGATATCAAAGTTCAATAGAGTTAATTCGAGAGGATGTGTTTCTTGAAAGGCTATGCTGAGCTGAAATGACGTACCGTTAGGATGAAGGTATGGAAGGAGGTAGCTATGGCTTTAAGAGAAGTAAAGTTCGTGAGTTATACTCTTAGGACTTGGATCAATGGACGAACTTGACGATATTCTCTGTTATTCTCAAGTGTGTAAATAATATGGAGATTGTTTTAATTTCCTATCGTATGAGTTGCTTTATTTATCTACGTGAGAGTACCTTCTTCTATATACATGAATAAGGGGGTTCTGCACACTAGTGGCTGTTCCAACATCTGTCCTTGTCTACCCGAGAAAGGAAGGATGTGAGAGATCCTAGCGCCAATAAATACCTTTTTTTTTAATAATTATTTAACGTCAACCTCACAAGGGCCCAAAGCAGTTTGGCAATGCAAATACGAAGTGAGCACATGGGGCTTAACTCGTATTTACACAGAAGAAGCGTACCCGGAGTATTAAGTCCAGGTTGTCCATGCGGCTACCAATCACAGAACCCAAAGCACATGATTATGTCCTGCCCCCAATGGTCAAATGGTAGAGCTGAGATCTGGAGACAAGCCAAAGATCGATCCTATGAAGCGATGTTAAATAATCCTGGAGATATAAAAAGGATAACACAGTGGATCCTAAACCATGGTTGGATAGAGCAATTCCAGATGACAAAAGCGGTCGAAATACTGCTGAGGGAAAGGAAAAGGTCAAATAATGCTGGGGGACGATAGAGATGATCTGGTTAGTTTACATGGATGGCACTTTAGTGTAACTGCGCTTCCTGAAGAAAATATGTGAGGACTATAGACAACAAATAGAAAGGTGTGGGAGGTTTTCACCATAAAGGTTTCCTCCCGGGTAAATATTATAGACTGTAGACACCTGCATGGGCCCATAGGGCGCCAAATCAGGATAATGAAATCAAATTCAAATATTTAACGTCAAATAGATATCATTAGTGTAAAACTTAGAGAGGTCTTCGTGTGAATGTCACGTGAATCGTTAAAGATGAATGAGTGAGTGAGTGAGTGAGTGTTTATTGTCCTAAAAAGTCTATAACTATGTAAGGACATCTAGGTCCTTTCTGCCTACAGGCCGGGAGTATCTATGCCTCGGGTAGTGTACTCCCTCCTATGCCTCCTTCACGACTTCTTTCCAGCAGTAATACCCCCACAGGTCTTCATTCGAGTACACACTAAGAGGAGCCATTATCCCGTCATTATCTCCCCTCTCCAGCCAACGAAACGATAGCCGACTGCGGGTGTGTAGCTGTAGGGAAAAGTCTCAAAAACCACTGGGTGCGGGGCTCTCCTATGACGAAGAGGCCGGCCAGCCGGGCGCAGCAGACCTGTGTATACCTAAGAGCGTCTCTCAACCTTCCTAGCCTCCTCCTTACTCCTCCCTGATTCATGCCGTTGGACAAATCGTAGGTCGTGAAAGGATTTTAGAAAAGTCTTGGTCGAGAGTGACAGTCGCGAAGGAGCCTAGCCTAGCATCCAAAAGTCGTTACGGACGTGGGATTGTCGAGTAACTCATGTATTTCAGATGCCCTCCTGGCTAGTAGATTCGGAATTTATGATTATTAGGGACGATAAAGTAGACGAGTCGAAATCTGCTTTTCTTGAGGGCGGAAGGGTCTTTTACTTTGCTTTCGAGGGCTTTTTGTTCGCCCGTCGGTGGGTAGCACATGTTGTGATATAACGAGGGCTTCTCTGACTACCGATGTAGCGTTTGGCACCGCATTATCTTTCCCCATTCCCAGTATCATTATCGTCGTCTTTGTCGTCTTATGAATTATCGGAAGCTTATTTTTGACGGAGGGGGAGATAACTCAGCTCAAAGTTGATAAGGTGTTACTCAATCTCGGCTCTGCAGACTCTACAGTGAGGGCTGGAGTTTCGTAGGGGACACCACTGACAGGTGTTAAGAATGGTCTCCCTGGAATATCCAAGTAATCGGTGGCAAGACGGGGAACTACTGTGAGTGGAACGTGCGAGGAAGCAAATGTCAGCCAACAACGAATATTCTGGATATTTTAATGGATGTAAAAATATTTGAAGTGATACTTCAAAAGTTAGCCACGGAGAAATTTTAAACTAGCCTCATCTTTCGGATCGCTCCAGCATCGTCACTCGAGCCGTGACGATCTGTCCACTACTCTGAGTTTGATGATGGCCTGCAAAGTTAAGGACAACGCGAACCGTAATTTGAGATAAAATAGTGTTGGGTTATTGAGAAAGTATAGTCACGGGAGTAAGATAATGCAGATAGTAATATACGATATGTGAGGAATTGTATAGATGTAAGACTAAGGGTGTGTAGTGATAAAGGTGTTATGTACTAATGATGTGGACACCTTTCACTTGACCAACTAGCTGACTAAGCAGCATTTCCTGACAAATAGTCTTGTACTTGTGCATCACGTGCAAGTGTCTTAGTGTGCAGGCGTTCTTTCATTATTGCGTCCAGTCTCATTGTAATATAGTCAATTATAACTCCTTGTAATTCACGACATTAGATACGTTCCTCTTCCTCAAGATCCATCTCTTTATAATAAATAGCGTGAACCTAGAGGTCACAAGCTAAGACCATTATAAAAGGGGTGGTTGGCCCAGAGCAGGTATGGGCATGGAGAATGTAATCGGAAGCATTGTCATATTAAAGAGGAGCCCAATGTGCTCGATAGCCTATGACTCACGTAGGACGATAAACACACACTTGAAGATTCTAGTTACGCCTGAACCGATGTGCTGCAGAAATCCAGGAACACGTGAATACAATCAGCTGCCGTCACACAGATTACATGTTGAGCAGTGGGATTGGGAGAATGGGATTTCCTAGCAATGAGGCAGTGTTACCTGTATAGTCTAGATATGTTATGAGGCTCCGACCTCCGTGTAAAGTAGCAGCCAATGAGTCTAATCAAGCGAATACACATCATTGTCCTCTCCACATAGTGCTGAGCGCCTTGTTCTACGAAGCTGCCGTTGGTTCGCAACCCATTTCCTCATAATCAACATACACTCCCATTGGTGTCGTATATTACAATAGTATGAATCATCGTTTCATAAGCGAGGCTTAGCCGTGAACCCGGGCGGCTTTCGGAGAAAGTTGATAGGTTTATGGCGGAGAAATCGACACCATAGCTTGGTGGAAAAGTCTGGATATACTGGCCTCGCCGTCGCACACTGCTGAGAGGATACCTCCCAAGCAATGCATAGCTCATGGGCCGATCCAGATGCATGTAGAACTTGCCCTTGATTCAACGATGCAGCAGCTGCGCTTCAAGCGTCAGTGACGGTTGAGGAAGAGAGGCGTTGCATTTTCATGAAAACTATTTATTACTTGTTCAGGTTTGTTCCACTACCTAGCTATGAGGCATCATCGGTGCTCTGTACAGATGTCGAATAATTCTTTTGACGCTAGAGATACTCATGCTCTGGGTTCATTCGTAAATACCACCACTGTGAGGTGTACTTGCCTGCACAAATAGTCGAACCTCCCTCGTGCGTATCCACCAGGGGAGTGCAAAGCCTTTGACTAACCATGATTGCCTCCAGCTTTGCATCTTGTTCCGATCTCTCTCACTTCTATCCCAAACATCTATCTCCCATATTTAGGCAACACAGTTTGTCCCCTCTGAATATTAGCATGGGCGTGGGTATGTGCTTGGAGGACATTTGAGGCTGGAGCGAGTTACGAGAGGAGTGCTAAAGTGAGGATGTAAGAGCTCATACTTGCAACCTGATGAGACTTTGGTAGGAATTGATCTCTTCGGGCGAGAGATACTGATTTGGTTGGGAGTATTGATCTTTGCCTCGTGGGCCAACTTCTTTGATATTGCTAAATTTGACCGGACTTGGCACTGGAAGAATATTTCACGCCTAATTTCGTGGAGGACATGGAGCACGCGTATTCGGTCTTTCCGTCGGCGGAAGCCAATTCGTGGCGTAATTGCAGAACGAATGAGAGTTCTATTTTGTACGCGCTGGTGGGATGCGAACTTAACGTTTGAACTTTTGTAGGCATTACGTAGCTCATGATGCTGTGCTGGGGTTCGGTTGATTTCGGTTCAGCACAAGGAGCGAGTCTAAGATGGGATGAGGTGCTCCGGCTCCAATGGCAGTGAGGGAGCCAGTGGCCTGGCATTTTAGTACATCTCGAGGGGTAATAATCTTTGTGGCAAGGGTCTATTTTGTAGAGATCCGAGAAAATGATTATTCTTTAGTCAATTCACCACCCTCAAGAAGATTAATGTGGTGTAAGCGGGGGCCAGTATGTAGGGAATGTGGAACAGGCACATTGGAAGAATCATATAATTGCGGTGATGTGAGTATTTGAGGGGATAAAAGCAATCGAATCTTGCTTTGAGAACGCGCAAAGTCTCAAGACTGCTGGGAGCCGGGCTGGGAAAAAAGCCAGAGATGATGAGGATGCTAAGGATCGTAGCTCGACGTGAATATAGCGTAACAATGTGGGACATGCTTCTTGCCTCGTCAAGACTTGGCACGATGAGAAGATGAGTGGTGTCTTTGGTGGTCCACATCTATCTGTGGATCGAGGTCAAGTGCAATGCAGATGGTCGTCGGCCCACTTACCTTGCACCTTGCGCTTCTGTGTAATATGACCGAGCCATGTATGGATGGCTAAAGCTTTCGCAACGCTCCTTTAGTGGATGCTAACGTGAGTGGATTTGATTGTGTGAACTAGACGAGAGACGTCAATTGGCGCATCGAACTGGAACATTGAACTAGTCTTGAAATTAGAAAATGCGTGTGTGTGTGTGGGATTATCCGAAAGCGAGGCTCGCTAAGGCGGTGCATTGGGAATCCCACATCATTGGTCTCAACCATCAGCCGCTACGGGCACTACGAAAGAACCGTTTGTGAATGACATAAGAAGATAGGGGTCATGGGACCATGCATAGCCATTCAATGTACGTACTCGACCCTAATTGTGTGTCGGAGCTCGAAATCTGCATTTCAAATAAATGGCACGAGTAGAATACTCGTCAGCCCTTTCCAGCCTGGCTCAGCCATAGTTAAAGTAAAGTTATCGACTAGATTTTCATCTGGCCTTAGACAGCACTCAACAGCACTCAACAGCACCAAAGTATCAATGGGATTGACAAAGACAACTCACCCGGCTGAAGCGATTTGGTCGCGACGATTTCAGGCGAGCTGCTGGGCCTCGCCCAAATTGTTTTGCTAGCCAATTCCCCCGGCGACGCCCACTAATTTCATCGAAAAACGTATCTTCCGCGCTGATCCTTGATGTCTACTAAGAGCTGCGAGTCCTTAGCTGAGTCTTCTCCTTGCCAAGACCCAGTTCAAAGCAGAGCAATTTGGCTTCTATCGTCGACGAGTCAACGGCATTCCCTCGTATTCAAGACGACCCAAAGGGGTTGGCCTATACCCTACAACGGCAAACACTCTCCGTAAGGATTATTTGGTACATCATCACACGCGCTCGGGAATGAATCGAGTACGGTTTTGGAGGGTGTGGAACAATAGCTAATAATATAGAAACCAAATTTCTTGTGTACACACAAGCAAGCAGCACCCGGCTATCCGGCCCCTCAGAACGCTTCACAAAGGTAGCTATATCTTTGGATATAGTCCCGATACCTGTAATTGGAGTGCTCCGCACCTAGTGATTTTTGAGAGCTTTCCTAGCTGCCATATAACCGTGTACAGCCTTTGAATCAGTAGTTGGATGGAGAAGAAGGCGAAGAGCTCATGGCTTCTCAAAGCAAATGTACATATGACAATTTGTGGGGAATGTATCTATTGCTGGTAGCTGTATGGGAGACGAGAGAATATAGTATCCGTGGCACAATATTTTTAGCGCAAAGGCTGATAGGACTCGTATCTCCCTAACCTCAGTAGGCACAGTAGTAAAGTCAATTATTCACGTCTGTTCATTAAGAGATTGATCCAATCACATCGTGACATGTCTCTTTTACAAAAAGTAACACTTTACAGTTCAATCTGTTTCTAATGGATTTGCAGTGCAGCACTACAAGTAATAGCTTGATCTCCTTCTGCTCTAGGCTTCTTCATAACTTGCTTCATCTCAACTTCTATAATTTAGTCCTCGTGCCCGAGGTATCAAAGATGCATTTCAGGAGTGACATAATAGATACCCATGCTGAGAACCGACAAACACCCTTCAAATAGTAGAGGTCTAAAATTTACGTTCCGTCGGAGTGGAAGCTTGAAATTCTCACTGTACATCGAAGGCCTAAGAGTTAAGCTCTCAACCTCACACACAACTCCGAATCTTTCAGCGCCGTCGCCATGAACTGAAGATGGCCAGACTCACCATTGGGGGACCTTACGAACCTCATGCGGAGAGAAAACATTATTATCCGACTAGGTAGATTTCGGCAAATCGTCCGAAATAGACCAGCGACTTATGGTGATCTGAGCCACTTGTATTGCGACATCCCAGGCGTAAAAGACTATCTCCTCCGTCTTGTTGAGATCCACTGCCATATTAGCCATTGCTGGATATCTCATAAGGGCTGGCCATGAATAATTATACGTTGTACAGGAGCCTATTCAGTACAGTATTCAGAGCTGCACGACTTTAAAACATGCCTTGAGCTCTATTAAAAGCTTTCCTCTCCCTAGAACTGCCTCTACTAGCGCCATGGTCTGTGGCGTGACTATACATGTGATTAGCCATTTACCTATCTGCCATCTAGGGCTCGCGACTTTCTTGTGACTGTGTCAGTCTAACTTCTCTAATCGTGTCATCGGGATTTGCTTGCCCTTGCTCTCTACCAAAACCAGGCTCGTCAAATGTTAATTATCATCTAATGTTACGAAATCTACACAGTTTCCCCTTGAGAAATAGGGCTTGACCCTCACTGTCCATGAGAACATAGTTAAAAATTGTAAAATTGGAAAGGAAAAAAATGTAGCTAGTATCTTCTATATAGATTCTAGGAGTCTTCTATAGTCATTGACTCAGTTAGGACTGTAATATAAATCTAATCTAATCCCCTTGAGTTGCCCTGAAGACTAAATCATGTGTCTGACTCGAACTTTTGTGCAAGGCATGGTAAATTATCGATCCGACAGGCTTATCTAATTCTTATTGTGGTTTACCCTTCCGTAGTAGCGTTAGAGGTGATATCTCGTGCACAATTTTTTGAAGTCCCTCTGCCCACTAAATGCTTTCGGGAACTCTTGTAGATTAATCTAATGTGGGTAACTGAAGATGATGCCTTGATAGAACTTCCGGTGAAATATTCTCCGTTCAACTACTCCTAATTGTTTACTTTGTATCTAATGTAAGCCAGTCAAGTTAAATAGTCTCCCAAACAGGACATCATTTACAGCCAATCGTTCATGCTCTAGATTAGCCTCGTGTGACTCTCTACGGGACAAGCGAAGGTTGGCAGGCTAACGGACCTGTGAAGTATAATGTCCTAATATCGTAGGGTTCAACAGTCAATGATTATATCACGTCCCATGACAGACTTTTTATTTTTCTTCAAAATAGAAGGTAAATGGCTTCACGGACCTACATCTGAGGTAAGTTATGTTTGTTGTGGTCACTTTTACTATGATACAATGCAGAGATGATTAATCCTTTAATTTCCTTGAATTATTTTTGACTCGTAAGGGACATATTCCCTTGCTTGAATAATTTTCCCGAGCTGACTGTATAATTCCAATTGTAAGGCTATGCCGCAAAGTGCCTCAAATTTTCATTTATGAATTGCCAGCTTAAGATTAGGCTTCCCGATAAGTAAAGCCCCTCGAAAAACTTAACAGGATACGAAAGATAAAGCAAATAATTCATTGAGAAAAGCCATACCCATTTTCAAGGTGTGAAGACGATAAGCACATGTAAATAATGCAATAGGATATCCCATCCTACACGAGCTCCTCACAACGCCGTTTAATCCGTAGAACAAAAATCGTAAATACAGTTAATCATTGAAAATTTTAAGCTCAAAGTAATCCTGCTTTTTAGCAGGAGAAGCAAAGGAAGTAGGCAATCCTAGAGGATAGTGACCTGTCTAGCTTTTTTTGCGAATATCAGTATATAGATAGAATTTGAACCATAGGTGAGTAAAACTTTTTATTGGTCCTAAAATTTCCCATTCAAGTAGATTCGCAATGATTTTTATTTTTTATTATATTCCAAACTCCGGTAATCAGACTCGTTCAAGATCTTGTCTTAATTTTGCGTCAACAAGGTTATCGATATTTCTTCTGCTTTCGATGTCAAGAGAATCATTGCATAACGCAGCCCGAAGACGTTCAAAAGCGGGACGATCTTCTGTTGATTCCAGTTTGACAAGGTCAACAAAGTGGCGGGCAAAAACCTCAGGAATTACTTTCTTCTTACTGTTGAGTATTTCGTCGTAGTAAGATATTAAACTGTTCAGCCCATTGTTCAAGCCAATCTGGGCATCCTGCAGAGCAAAACATCGGAATTCAGAATACATCTGCGAATTAAAATTACGGCATAAGAAGTGAGACCAAAATTCATAGAGAAGTTTCATATCTGGATGAGTAATTGTAGATGTGTGAGCTGAAAGATCTCTATTCTTTAAGGCTCGTGCACGAAAAGTGACATATAGCTCCTGTGAATTATGTTCAGACACCGGCACCTGTTGTCTCTGTCCCTTGACCCACATGACGGGAGGCCCATTACTGATATCAGATCGTGGTGGTGAGAGGGGCAGATGCTGAGTATCAGGACAAGAGTTACCTTCCGGGAGGCTATATTTCATTAGTAGAGAGATCAGAAAATTGAAGGAAGCCTACATTTCGCAGATATTAGAACCGTTTAGTAGGGATCTGTCGTGACATGAGTTATTGCAAGTCTCATCAGTTAGTGAAACAAGATCGATAGAGCCATTGGAAAAATTTCTTGATGTTGATTTATAAGTCTGTGTGAAATTTGGCTCTTCGTCCCTTCTTGGATGAGCAAAAACTAGGGTTAAGTTGGCAACTTCCTCGTCGTTAAAAGTCGTCTCTGCATCGAGGAGTTCAGTGTCAGCGCTGGAAAAAGTTAAACCTGGTGAGAAAGCTGGTACGGCAGCTGAGAGTGGAGTCTCTGGCTGGTAAGCATCACCAGCACTCAAAGGAGAAGATATGGGCCCACCCTTTCCGTGAGATCGGAAATTGGCTTCGTTGGTCGCGTAAGGTACGAGAGGAGTAGTTGAGTGCGGGCTCGGGAGGATCATCTGTCCCATAAACTGGGACTTTTGACTGTGAGGCAATCGCTTCCAATAACTAGGGCCTGGATTTCGAGTTGATTCATCTCTTTCTTCCATAGAGAGCACCCATTTTTCCCAACCCTCTTTCCTACGCAATCGATCTACTCCATCATCCCCGTGAATTAACTCGACGATTTCAGACTCCTGACAGGCAAACCTGAGGACTTCGAAATCTTGTGTGAGAGCTTGTATGCGTTTGAACCCAGCAATGAAAGATAGAAAGACAAAGCCCTGCGAGTCCATATGTTTTCGAAGAAACACATCTTTGCAAAGATTGTCGATAGAAAAATAGTATTCTAGTTGCATGATAACCATAGCATGCACAGAATAATGGTCGATATATGGTTGATATGTTGTAGCGCTCATTGCCTGCATTGGAACATAATCGTACATTGGAGCAGATGTTTGAATCGTTGTTAATTGATGAGGTACCGATGCCCCATTTTGCGCGAAGCGAACATAGGGACCGCCGTTAGGAATAGACTGAGATCGAAGCCCCCCTCTCCCGCCTCGTGACGGAGTTGTGAATTGCGCATTGAATGGAGTCGTTAATGGTGGGCTGTATGGACTAGTTGCTTGTCTCATCGTGTACCCATTCTGTTGTTGACTTACAAGAGAACTCTGAAAGTTAGACTGAGAATGAGATTGACCATTGAGATAGTTGGAGTGCCCACCACGGCCACGATAGCTTCCTCGGCCACGATCAGATCTGGCCTCTGACCTTTCTCTGCTAGGGAGATTCAATTCTTTTTGTAGGTTACCATCTTTATGATCAATATTCCTTGAAGCTAGTTCATTCCGACGCTCACTTGAAATATTTTTATATTGGATATTCGTATAATCATGTTTGATACCGTTAGAAGTCTCGCCACGGGATAGTTCATGACTACGGCACTGATCAGGATTAACTTCAAGATTGTTAGACTCATTAATGCTGGTGGGTTCATGAAGATTGTAGGGCTCGCTCCTAGGGTTACCGGATCTCATTTTTTCGGTCGAGTGTGGATAAGCTTTACGAAAACTGACTTCGTTTTGGTGACGCTTAACAGGAGGAAGAGAAGTTGCTCGTGTGATTTCTTTTGTGTCTCTCTTTTCAACCTCTATTGAAAGGCTGGAGCCTTCGGGTGTTGTGTGGTTTAGCTTTTCTCCGGGCGAGATGAGGTTTTGTGTGTGGTTTGATCGAGGACCAGACTCATTTCGGCCAGCTCTTGAACCTCCGCGGCCACGACCACCCCTCGAGGGCATTGGAGTGTTAAACGTCACAGTTGGTATGTAAGGCACTGGTACCCATTTCTCTTTAGGTCGAGGTTTGTGAGAGGCAGCTTCATCTTTATCTTCCTTGTCTTGCTTTTCTTGTACTTTTCGCTTATCCTCTTCCAGTACATTTTCGGGTGTTGGCCAAGATGTTGGATCTTCAACTGGAGGGGGGGCATACGCGCTCAATGACTTTTCTTCTCTCTCGACTGATCTATTTCCGCGAGAACCACTTTTCTTGCTGAGCTGATCCTCCTTCAGTTTAGGTCCTTCGGCTCCTTTTTTTGCTATTCGATTAGGAGCAAATGTCTCACGAGGTCCTCCATTGTAGTTTGTTATTGGTAGCCGGTCGATGGTTTCTGCTCCGGTTTGTTTATTTCGCTTTTTTGGTTCCAAAACTTTACTAGCCATATTCAACCCACCTTCCGTTGAGCCTGGACATTCAACTGGCAGTTTGAGACTGTGTACATTCGAGGTAGTTTGAACCTTTGCAAGTTTCTCTTTTCTTTGTTGCCAGAAGTTCACAGCAGGAATTGGTGCAGGGACGAGAACGTCAGACTTGACCCCGTCTTTTTCAACCTCGACATCAATTTCTACACTCTTTTGCTTTTTGATCATATTTCCTTGATGGTTATCAGCTAAATAAGAGAATATTACAGTGGGGATTACCTGTAGAAATAAGTTCCCTAGCGGGATCAGAAGAGCTCCCAGCCAAGCTCTCTTCTTCATCTTTACCCTCATTCTTGCAAGACAGCTGTGTATTGCCTTCTACGTTGGAAGGAGAGTTGAGGGTAGTGATAGAATGATCTATTCGCGCGCTGTTTAGAACTGATGGTTCATCTGCTGAAGGTTCTAGACTATTACAAGCTTCGTAGCTTCCATTGATGTTCACTTCTTCTTTTTTGTAACTTTGAATAGCAGTTGTTATCGGAGAATTTGCGTCTCTAGTTCCTGATGATGCCGTTGACGCATTAGATGGATGTAGTTGGACAGAGCCGTTTGTAATAGTCGAAGTTCGGCCCTTGGCAGCCTGTGCGTATGAAAATACAGGCTGAGCTTGATTATTTTCCGCAAGAGGTTTTCCAGTTGAAGAATTCATATTGAATATTACTTTTTTAATGTCTGATAGGAATAATATAGTAGATATGCCGAAATGTGATGGTGGAGAGAGATATTTAAAAAGCCTCCAACCTATAGCGTCCGGAGAGGCGCGTGCTACCTCTCCGCACTTTTATCCTACTACGGCTCTAGAGTGACCAATGGTGTGGTAACTCAGAGACTGAAATATGACCCAACCGAAATTGGGAGATCAGTAATCTATTGAAGATTTTCTAATTATTGTAGTATCAGATAATAAGGAGCTTGTATTTGGAACAAGACCTTCTCTGATGAGTGTGGTAACCGATGGCCGCGCAATTTCAATAATATCCGAGTTTTCTATGGATCAATTGTGGAAGCTAGCCCTAGGTTGGAAGAGGTTGGTTTGGCGACACAAGAAGCGATATTTAAAGCGGCACAGATCCTAGTTTTGAGGGATAATTGTCAGCATCATAGCTCGAGAATTTCTGTATGAAAATTTTTGATTAAGCGGTCTATGATCTGCATTAATTATTTTGCACATGACTGGGTTAAGTGGAGGGCTAGAATACCGCGTCAGCAAGACGAAGGACGACAAACCTCAAGTGACAGTGGATAATCCAAGCAATTTTTGTGATCAGAGAAAAATAAGAGGTAAAAGGTGGTTTAAGGAGTTAGACGACTAAATGCTTGCTGGAAAAGCTCTCTGGGTTGAATCGTATTTGCAAACAGAGAGATCAAAAACCTTCAGATATCAAGTTAATCTGTTTGTGAGAAGAACCCGTCTATCGAGAAAATCCTGTAAGCGTCGTAGGTGAACCAGTGTTCTCGAAATTGTAGATTTAGGTTAAATCAAAATTCGTTCTACAATTATTTTAAGTAGGGCAAAATTAGCGCAGCCGAACCTCAACCCATCTTGTGATCTAATATTAGCTAATGTTAGTTGAATGAGGGTTTCATTCCATGGGTCAGTCAACCGAATGAAATAATTGCTTAATCAGCTGCCTTTCTGGAGCTAATTAATCAACTTCGGATGCTTGGTTATCTCCATCATTATTCGCCATTTTTGGTCTTCTTGATCCTATTTAGTTTACACAGCAGATTGTAGGAACAAATGTTTGCCAAGCGCCGTACATTCCCCGGGGTAGCGGGGATGTGCGACACCGTAATCATATTACTTAATCCATGTCTCTGAACTGCCACATTCTGCACAATATGCCTATGGTTATCTTTCCAGGAACATGGACATCGAATGTCAAGTATCAGTTGGTCCGGCGTGTGCCTCAGCTTTCTATAGGCAGGGAATTCAAATCATGCATGCTTTAGACGCGAAAGGATTCCACTCCTTATTACAATTACAATCGCTTTTCGACGGCTAATTTATCAATCAAATTTCCTTTCGATACTGTGAGTCGTTGAAGTCGTCTGTAAATTTTACACTATGAAAAAGTACTTATTCTAGGAAAACCCCTGCCAGCGGGTTTAAAAATAGGCGGATACATCTCGAGAATGAAAGTGAAGCCCCACAATTCCATCGATGTCTCCTCGCCTCACTATGATCAATAAACGGCGGTGATAGCTCGTCAATTTCACAGGTGATAAGTGTTTTCATCACCCTGGAGGATTTTCTGCTACCAATGAATTCGCGCTTTTTCTCGATAGTATCCAATGATGATAGAGGGCCTTCGACTCGAATGAAACATAAGTGTAAGCAATTCCAGTGATTTGTAAGAGCTATCACTCTTGGGAATGTAAGATTATTTCTAGGCTGGCTCTTGACAAACTAGCTATCCACTCATCCACGCAGCCGCCCTTTGTGTACCGAAACTAGTGACAAGCTTTAATCCAGATGAACCCATCGGAAAGTAACTCACCAGATACCACAGCAGGCATCCCAATTGTATAAAACATGAAAACAGGGTCAACAGCGTGCTTTGGAGCTACACAAGTTAGTTAATATATATTAGTACCTTTTGGGAACGACTTGGAATTGATTGGCAAATATACGTACTCCTACACTGAAGTAGATAGTCAACAAAATTGAACCAAAGTAAGTTGCTGAAAATGGTAAACGTGGTGTTGACATCAAGTGGGAAACATAGGCCCAAGGACCCATCATTACTGCCCACGACGCAAGGAATAAAGTAGATCCCAATGACCACCTATTTAACCGCACAAGTAAGTTTATAATTTCAAGGTTCTTGTTGAATCGCTACACGAAAGACCAATAATTGTATTGAAAATCCTGATTGACGGAGAAAATGAGCGATATTATATGACTTGCAGGGTTACCATTTACTTACACATATGCATGAATAATGACCGCCTCGATTCAAAATTTGATGAAGTATGAAACAACTCACAAAATAGCAAATTTGCGTGGCTTGGCCATCATTATTGGCCAAAGGGCAAAGCATAGAACGAAACAGGCCAGGGCTCCAATGTTACAGCAACCAAATAACAGAAGTCGATCCCATCTGCTCACTATAGAAATCTGATGTCAGCTAATCAGTACAATTCCAGGTGACAACGAACATTGGTCGACATTTGTAGTTTCGCCTCGAAAATAACGGAGTACTGGCTTACTGGTAAACCATGCTTCTTCTTCTTCGCGTCTAGTACGAGCGGGAAGAAATGCTCCGGTTCCCTCTGTGGTGGGCAATTGGACGTAATCATTATTTCTGAACGGATTCAAGGACGTTATAGTAGGTAGGAACCCAGTTCGCTGAGCTGTACTTGCGGGCAAATCATCGCGCCTTGACCAACCCAAAGAGTTCATAGAATCTCTGAACGAGGGCGTCGCCATCTGACGTAGAGCAGAGATCAGTGTTTTATTAGTTCGAGTTAAACTAAAGCCTTATTGCTTGCCTCCCACGTAAGTGGTGTAAATAAATCCGTGACTATGAGTCTATAATTTGTATAATTTGACTCTAGTGATACGGAACTCAAGGACCAGGCGCGACACTGCTGAATGTTGAAAGGTGGTGTCAACTGTGTGTTTGCTTTGACCAGGTGGAGTTGGCGATACAGTGTTCATTAGTTTAATGTTTTCATCAACAGGGTTAGTACCATTTAATGTAATCACAGTAATACGATATCAGAAGGCTCACTGTAGATCGAGTTCGCGAGTGGTATCTTCTAACAAATAAGTTTGGTTGATAGATAGCCAGGGTACACGATTGCACGAATGAAATGACAGCAACGAGGCTGTAACTAACAGGCTGAGTCAAGCTGGCGATGTAAGCCGAAATCAAGTTCTACGAGGGATTATCAGCTCGTCTAAGGTTTATTGTTTACCGGCAGAGACGATCTCTTTACCTCCCAGCAGTGCCGGTGTAAAGGCTCATTATATTCTGCATATCTGAGGTACCCAAGAAAATTGAGTGGGAATCGAAGTTTAAACCAAACACTAGCATGTCTCAATTTACAGGATCTGATTAATGTCGGTCCTAACGTTATCACATGAGTCCTCAACTCAATCTTCCAAACCATTTCACTGTAACAACTGATCAAGGAGCTACTCTGATGGAAAACAGGCGCTTGCTTCATCTTCATATTCTCTCCAGCGTAAAAATAGAATGCTACGCACACCCGCATAGAGTAATTAAACTATACTGTACAAAGCTCTGGTCTTGGTTTATCGGAGGCATTTACTCTAATGGCGTTTTTAAGTTGAGTTAATATAGGTAGCAGGTGCGAGAAACGAGGGAGGGATGAGGTTATCTGTGGGCATGCTGAGTCCAACTTTGAGATATGCGTGGGTGCCATGACGAAGGTTGCGGGCATTGCTACCGAAACTTTGAACACAGAACGCACTATGTATGCTTCGGTGGATGGATATGTGGGAAAATAACTTCGGTCAATACAACGACAGTTAGCGCAAGTCAAAGCGGGGCCGAAGGAATTGATCTCTTGCTGGATAACATCAGGAGATAAATGCGAGGCGCAGGGAAGCGGGATTAGACTTTATATTTTAATTCTTGTTTTCATCATGTTAGAAACTAATTGGTCATGTTGGTAGTATTGGGTCTTTCGGGGTAAACCACCCGTGTCATGCCATTAGTGTGCTGGTCTCGTACCGAGGGTGACTAACACAAGGGACACTACCCGAACTCAACGCTCTCACACTTGGCTGGGTCGAATACCATGATGCCAACGATAGAATTTTAAATTTTTTTCCAAAAGAATATCTGAAGTTACCATGGCCTCTGTATACTGTGCGTCAGGAAATATTGTGAGCCTTCAGAAGGCCCCCCAAACCACTAATTTGCTACTCACAGAGTCATTAGAATCGTTTTGAGATTTCTCGAGGTTCGCCGTGCGATCTAAATACGTGTCGCATTAATAGAGGATTTGTGTATTAAGAGTCTGTAAGCATTGTAATAGTTGACCTTTTATTTTTACTCTGGTGGGTGGCAACACGGCTAACCCTCGTGGCTCATGACGCGTGGAGGGTAAGGTCGTACCAGCTGAAGATCACGCCCTAAAGGCATATATTTCAATTACTTTCCAATGAACTGTAGCCAGTTTCTAGGGCCCTAGCACAAATATAGGGCCGGATGAGTATGATAAAATCTCAGAAATACTAGAAATGTCCCTTACGATGGTACATGAGGATCACGACTTCCTTTTCCGATAGGTTGCCAGGAGCGTTCTAGTTTGTGAGGCGGAATCCAGCTTGACGCTGGTGGGGGGGTAGTCTTTTAGAATGTGGAATCCTGTCGAAATACTTCATGCTGATACAGTACCAATTGAGCCGAAACACAATCGTACTCTCATCTCATCATGTCATCTTAGAGCAGTTGGTCTGATCAAGTGTACCCCGACATTGACCCCAGAAACCAAAATCAGGAACACAGATCTAGGGCCCTGTCAAACCTCAGGCCATGAATAAGTAATTAGTAAAGTATCAGACGAGGGTATCTGGTCTCAATGTATACCTAGCGCAAGCGTAGGAAATAAACATTGATAATTGTCTTCTTGATATTGTCTCGACTCTAACATCTCTTTTGAACATTGTATTCCTGACGCGATCTCTTTGACGTGAAATTTTTCTTGCCGGACCTTGGATTAAAGTCGCCATGGGTCACAGTTACTCTGGTCAATGATTGACTGAACTCTTACACTAGCTCCGAGCACATTATGCCGTGGGAACCAACAACACAGCCCCTCCTTCAGTTTACCTAGTATTAGGATTGGCTGAATAAGCGATAAATTGGCCTAAAGTCGAGTCAAGCCATCGGTTAATTTGCGTTGATACGCTCGTAAGAAGATTCTCATCCCCTCCCTTTATAAGCCTCGGGATCTCAAACCCCTCCCCACCGCACGCAGAGACTACATACCGACTGCTCCGCCCCCACACCCACACCCTCAACATCATTTAAGCAATATCCACTTTCTCGACCTCCGCAGCCACAGTCTTGCATGCTTGTCAATCCATCGGAGTCTTCTTCCAAACCCCCCACCATACACAGAACCTGCAACGTCGTACAAGTCTAAACCATATGCAAGTTGCGTTTCCATCATTGACCACTTTGTACGACTTACCCTATTCTCAAGCCGAGCGAAACCGCATATCGCACTCACTACCGTTGCTTGCCCGGTCCGGGGGCTTTAGCTGTACGCCGAGTCTGCGCACTACTTGCCAAAAATCGCTGCATCAGACTTGGTCATTCGATCATTTCTCGAATTACGCCAATTACTGTTGCCCTGAATCTTTATAGCTGAAGATCAGTGCCAATTAGCCAAATTTACCTCGAATACAGCAAGGATAAAAACGATATAATTCTCATTTAGAACTGCCCCAAACCCGGCTCACTGTTTAGCAGTTGATACTCCAGGACACATTGTCAATAGTATAAATCCTACATAGCTAAGCCTGTGCCGTTTATAGCGCTGCGACTGATCAGACCTCTGTAAGTACGTTTAATTCAAGTAATATTCACAGGCACAAAAATTTGTTGATTTTTTAGATTATCTGGAGCTAAAATGTTAATATTATTCAATGGCACTGGCTTCCATGCAAGCTCTTCTAGAATCTATCCTATTTTCTCTTTCCTATCTTTAATCAAAGCGGTAGTTTATTATCATTTATTCTACATACATGTAGATGCATACGCACAACCTTACCTGGAATCTAGCGGTGCAAACTAACTCTCACTTTACAACTGACAGCTCAAAACAGCTTCACAAAAAAATATTTACTGACAATATTTATTTCAAGTAGGTCACGTAGCACTGCTATTAAAACAGTTGATTCTAAAGTGAAAATGGCTGGCACTGGTCTGTCCAGTCCATATGTTAAGAATGAACCTGACGACTTCTATACAGCAAACAGTAACCAAAGAACACTCGGTGCTTTCCCTCAGCACGGATTTGGACAATTTTCCAGTTCTAACGGGGTTGACATTGATCCGAACTCCCTCGCGGCAGGCCCAATGGCAAATAGTTACGGAGCCTCGTTCCAGAACAACTATGGTCAGTCCTCAAGTAGGAACGGTGGGTTTGACGATGATGAGTTACTTGACAGCCTGGGACCTAGCCACATTAACTCAAACCAAACTGGATTGAACACTTCAGGAGATTTTGGTAGTATGAACCACTTTGATTACTCCGGAAATATGTACGGAAATAACACTGCACCGCTTCCTACGAACCAAAATAACGCTTACTCCAATGCTTCTGAGGTCGAACCCTTAATAAGTCCATACGTTCATAATTTTAACCATGCCCAATTCCGGCTTCCCTCACAAAATTACGGCAATTCCGCAAACTCTATGCAGTCTCCAAATTCATTTACTGGCTCTCCTATGATAGGATCTGATATACTTGGTGGATCAGGTGGTGATCCTTCATCCTATGCCAGGCAGCGGACGAAAATCGGATTAACCAACAGAAAATGCTCCAGCACAAGAAGCCCACTTACACCAAAGACTCCAGTTATTTCATCTCTACATATTGATGTTGTAGAGAATGGCTCTGGCTTTCCAACACAACCCATTCAAACTGCTACCTCTCATCGACACCAAAAGACCCTTTCTGGTCAATGGGATCGAACATCGAGTAGTCTCAATTCATTTGGAGGAGATTTCTCACCAATTCAAGGGGTACACTTGAACGCACAAATATCAGATATACTTAAAGGCACATCCATGCCTACAAAGCTTAATAACAGCCTTCAAGGTGCTCCTTCAGGCTTGCAGTCTCAAGAAATGAAGCGCAGGAGGCGTCGGGAATCTCACAATCTAGTTGAGCGCCGTAGACGAGATAATATCAACGAAAGAATACAGGAATTAAGCCATTTAGTTCCCATGCATCGCCTTGAAGATGAGAAGGTGCGAAAGGCACTTCAAAATAACTCTCCCTTATCACCAACATTGGCTGGCACAACTGCCCCTGCTTTAAGCATGAGTCCACCCCAAGCAACCTCAGGACTTGCGGGCCCCGGTGCCAGACGTGCGACTGCTGGTAATATAACTACCGGGATTCCTATCGACGAGAAAGACAAAGGTCCGAACAAAGGAGATATACTCAACGGTGCTGTTAGTTGGACCCGTGACCTTATGTGGATGCTCCACCTCAAACTTCAGCAACAAGAAGAATTGGCGAATTACATCCTCGAGCTCGGTGGAAGCTTTCCTTTCCAGCCAAGCGAGGATGAAAGGAGAATGCAAACAGAGCTAATGGATGCCATGCTGAAAAATGATGGAGGAAAATTTCAATACTCTCGGGCCGCTGGAAGCGGACTGAGGGTCCCAAAACATACTGATATAAAAGGAGACGCCGTTGACGGTACAGCGCTAGTCGATCAAATGGATTCTTCACAGAGCCCTGAAAGTCACAGAATGATTAGTGATGGTGGCAATGTTATCATAGGTAATGGAGGACAATATTGGAATGGCCATAACAGTGTCGGTAGTGGGGCCGGATCCATCAGTTTTAAAGAAGAAGATGAATATGGAATGGATTTAACCCAGTGATACAAGGATGCATTACAGGATTTGGGAGGTTGTTGTTTTCATGGTGTCAATTTTTGCTATCATCTTCAATGCAGGACAATTTGAGATTTGTTATTTCTGTTAATTATGACAAACAAGGGCAGTTGTAGATTCGTGCATTCAGGGGTAGTCACGGTTGCGCAAGGGCTGGATCGGATAGGAGTTTTAGCTTCAGTGCAAATGTGAGGAATACGGAGTGGTGATGAACGATATCTGAATACTATTTTGGGTAGAGCCTGGCGGCTTTTGTGCTTTATTTAAATTTACAATAACTAGAAACTGCAATATTTGTCTTGCAAATTAAGCCTGGTGATAACTAAGTATTTAGGGAGGCGTTCTCTACTGAACTACCGTATCTCCTACAGAAAATTGTAGAAAATGACATGCCAGGTATCTGGAGTGGAGATTGAGGCGACTAACGATATGGTCCGCTTCAAATTTGAGAGATGAAAAATCAACAGTTACGTCATGCACTGTAATTCGATCGAATTGAAGGTTACAAAGTCTAGAAATTGTAGCTTTTTACAGCGTACCGCAGCTTGCTGGTAAGGCCAGGGTTAATGCCACTGTTAGCCGGTGGTATTCTCAAGCTTCTCACAATTAGCTTTGGGAAGTCTGAATCTAGCCTATGGGTAGACAGAAGTTCTTGTGGTATCCATTAATGAAATGAGGGGTAACGATGGGGTAGCGATCAAGCTGGCGCGGGGAGAATATCTGGGGTTACAGATTTGCAAGTGAGGGGAAGGTGTCTACTTTGTCCTTGGCCGATTGAGCTAGCTATGTGCCGTGATAGCGAGGCGAGTGACAGCCATGTCTTAAGGCTCATCTCTTTCCCTCAATTTCAGACCAGCGATATCGGAGGCTGTCTCCACTCTGCCTGATAGCCCTCATTCGTTATGATAACGAAGTCAAGGTAGGTCATATGTGATGTGAGTGACCATGACGGCTATTTCGCGCTGATTAGTCAACATAGCCATGATCACATTGCATCGTTTGAGGCCAATTTTCTTCGTCGTGAAGATGACTCATTTACCCGCGATCTGAATTCTCATGAGCATGTGCCGACATGTGATGCATTACCTTTCACTGCATCAAAGGAATCGTGCAAATCCACTCCATAACTATTGAGAGCCGAAAAGCTCCAGTGGTACGACCTACCAATGTCTGCATATGAGCAGATGCTCTTGAAATCCAAGGAGTACGTGCCAGGTTTCCTTCCGCTTCATATTCTCTTCAAGTGCGATGCTTTCAAGCGCGCAATTACCGTTAAAATACTTTGTGAAGCCTGGCCACAGGTCCTGCATCCTAGGGTTTATTAATCGGGTTGCGATTGCTGCAATAAATAGAGACTCCTCGTATGTAGCTTTTTCTGGATCAATGATAATATAAGGAGCTGGGAAAACCTCAAGGTGACTTGCATTGTTAGAGGAGGGTGACGTAGTAGCAATGGGTGTAGGTAGTTTGGCGAAAGCCATAGCTTCATCTGCCTCCTGTTTGACCATCTTTTCAGCAAGTCGCCGTAGACGAGCCTGCTCGGCTACTTGTTCTGTTGTGAGAGGAAGGTTAGAATTAATTAGAATGTCATCACTCCCGGAATCATCAGTAGCTTTGGGGTTAGTATCATCTTGAGATGAATCCTTTGCGTGCTTAGCTTTCTCTATTGCTTCAGCCTTGAGACGGTAATGAACTTCATACTGGATCTCTGGCCACACTTGAATCCAGGCAAACGTACGAAGCTGCGTAACCCAGCCGCCACGTATTAGCCAAGAAAGCATTTCAATATAGACTAGTCGGTGATCTCGACTTGGTAGAAATGTTTTATACGGTCGCGGGTCTGTAGAGAGAGCACTTAAAAAACTCCGTAGGCTGGGTGCAGTTGGGAATGCTTCTTTCCATTCTTTGATAGCATTTGGCAGCTTCCGACAGTCGCAATTTGGGGAAACAATATACGTATTTCGAAGATGTAGGGGAGGAATAGCCAGAGCACGACGATAGAAGATGAGATGTGATGCAAGTGTGAGCAGGCTGGTAAGCTCAATGGAGTTAATCTGAGCTACCTGAGCAAATGAGAGCGTAGGCTTACAAAGACGAATGCATTCAGTCAAAGCCTCAGAAAGTTCAGTTTTGTTAACATGCATGTCTGTCAGCAATTTTGATTCGTCTTCAGTTAGTAACAATGCAAAGTTTTTGTTCAGCCGAGACTCGTCATATTTTCTACTTTCGATGAGCATAGGATCAGCACTCGTAACAAAAAGTCCGGGTATCGCGGGCTCTCTCGCAGTTGGAAGACTCATAAGGAAGGAAGGCTTTGGAATCTGAAGAGATATATTAAAATTAGGCCCGAGCTCACAGGTGGCTATCTTGTTCTGTGAGATGGAGTTGAAAATTTCCTTCATGGCACAAGCAAGTGTCGATCTGAGGAGAATTTCTCGCCATAACCAGCTCATTGGACGTCCTGTAATCAATTATCGGATTAATTCTTGATAAATGACTGATTTAACTCACGATCTTCACGGGCCTTTTCTTTCATAGCTAAGATTAGTTCAGATTCATTCCAGACATATCCCGAATTAGCTTGTGTTTCCAGTAAAGCCCGATTGAAAGTTTTCACCACATGCTCATACATTTCACTGGCTTTTTCTTTCAGGTCGTATTTTGAGACATCAAGAATAAAAACAGCATTAAACATAGTCATTCCTCCATCATCGCTGTCTTCGGAAATGTTGTCCTCGTCCCCCCTCTCATTGTTAACTACCTGTCTATTCTGGATATCCCTACTCGATGCCACCTTTCTTCTAGTTCTTTGTAATTTTTGTGTTGTTCTTTTCTTCCATCGACCATCCTCCCGAATATGGACTGGGTATGTAAGGAAGCACAAGGGATCGAGTATCATTTCAAAGCGACTCTTGTGATAAGCTCTTGAAGGTGTGAGAATGCTTTCTAGATCGGTAGTGGAAAATTCGAAGAAATTCTCCCATGGAACAATATGGATTCCATTTGGGGTATTAAAGTGTTCATCACGGTCAAACCTTGCTCGAAAATTATATCTATTGTCATTGATATCTTTTTTACTTTCATTTGTCTGGTTCAAATTGATATGGTTGAAGGAAGTGTATAGGCTTTCTTCGGATTCATCGCTGGCATAATCTGGATAAGGGTCTAATTTTGAGGGATTCATGTCGGTTCCGTATAGCATTTCATGAGATGACTCGACACATGGTTGTGCTGGATAATGGAAGACGAAGCGGGGACCGTGTCTTGCCTTGATTAGCAAGGCGATTGCTACCAGTCCAGGACTCATTGACACAATATTCGTTGGGTTGCCAGTCGCCTTCAACAGCTCTGGTTGTAAAGATTTCATGACCGATGGCTGATGGCCTAGATGGAACTTCTTATTTTGCTTCTGCATATCTTCAAAGGAATGATTTTTCTTTACCACGTCCGCAGGTAATTAATTTCAAATTGGAGCGCTATTTTGTGGATAAAAGTTACACGGAAGTAACATGATGGAGGATAATACAGTGCGACGCTCCAGGTATTCAAGTTGTGGATGTTTGTCTGCTTGGACGAATCACGCCTAGCACGCACTTCCACATACCATATCCAAATACGTAGGTTTAATCAAGCCTGCTAGCACCTACATTGATATCTTTTATTTTGAAACTCTAATACATGAAAATTAATAGAGATTTGACACATAACACGGTTGGTCTTTGATACACGGATAGGCTAAGTAGCGCAGGATACCGCTCAAGGAATATTATAGGTTGCAAATTAAAATACAGTCTATGTAATATTCTCCCATTTAGATACAGTACATGATATGCTGCTACAGTTAAGTATTCGGAGAAGGAAGAATAAGAATCTATCCCATGTGCTCTCTTTAGACCAGGTAGAAAAATGTTCTCCTAGAGCGAAGATGACTCAAATTCCGTAATGCTGAAGAGGTTTGCCCACGGGACTTTCATGGGATGACCATAGGAGATAGAATGAAGGATTACTATTAGCATCAAAATCTCGCGGGCCTGGGTAGATAAAGGTATCGTAACAGTGATCTACGAGCATGTACATCATGAAGCGTATTCTACAGTTGAGTTGCCTTCTTCATGCATCGCCTTCTCAATATTATCTCATCCTAGATATTCAATCTATTCCTTGTGAAGATCACTTCGAGCCCATACTCGTGTCAGATCACGACGTGTCCTCTATCACTTGTTGTCGAAGACATTGACCCCTATTCACTCACACTTGTATCATGTGGATAAATAGCATACACACTGCTCTAGAGGGCCAGTGATTCAAGACTCCCTGCCGTGTAAGTTTTTTGCTTATAGCATGGTCGAGTCTGAACAAAGCCTCATCAATTTTACGAGTCCGATCTGTTAAATTATTATTTTTATGACCACAAGACTCTTGAACATAGTCTCTAGTCGCAGATGGCCTCCAATCACACGCCCATGATAATGTTGGTGCCCGCTGAAGGAATCAAACTTAAGCACATAAATCTAGAAAATAGATCTTAGGGATAGACATACGGCATATCAGGATAGATTTATAGGGAGTTTTTAAGGATGAATCCAACCTTACAAAGGGTTAAGTCGTATTTACGGGGAAAGAGTCTTTTATCAAGAGCATAGTGTCCGCCGAGCCTTCATCTGCGAGAATACTGGTGACACAATGAATACTATCATGGTTGAATGGCGCAGTAATATATCATCTGGACTGGTACACCAAGTAAAGTCTAGAAAACTCAGACTGTTATTCTACTTGAGGTAAGAGAACGCTTAGTTGGACCCAGAATGGCTTATCAAGATTTCATACGATATTCGTGCGTTTGTATGGTCAATGGTTGGAGGGCAAAGACCAAATACTCGTCCGCTGTCATTAATTCATTTTATTTTCCTATCCGAGTCTATAACTATGTAGGACATGTAGGTCCTCTCTGCCTACAGACCAAGGATACCTATACCAGTAGCATATCCCCTCCTATGCCTCCCATACAGCTCCCCTCAAACAGTACCACCCCTCACAAGTCCTCATTCGATCATACGCTTAGAGGTGCCCTTTGCCCTTCATTATCTCCCCTCTCCAGCCAACGAAACGATGGCCATTTTCGGGTGTATGGCAGCCGGAAAATTTCGCAAAAACAACTGGGTGTAGAGCTCTCCTAATACCGAAATTAGGGCTAAGTTCGAAGACATAGTGATCCTTCTGAAACGTTCAAGAGGCCTGACAGCTGGGCGCTGCAGACTTGTGAGTACCTCGGGAAATTTACCATCTGCCTTTCTAGCCTCCTACCAACTCCATCCGGAAGGTGGTGCTGAAACAGCAGAAAAGTCTTGACAGAGCATAATTGTTGTTTGATAGCTTGGCACAACTTCTTTTGTGCCGTTGACTAATCGACAATTGAAGCCCTCCTAGCTAATTAGCCGAAATCTCGGTCTTTTTTTTTTTTGCATCAGATTTTAATTGCGTATGCAGCTATCTAGCTATGATACAATATCAAATGAAAGTACAGAAAAGATGACTCAATTTACAAGAAGAGGACTCATGCCTCGGATTTCATTTGCAGGTGCCACTGCGAAGTTATGGTGGCTTTTTCTTCACCCCATGTCAACCCTCGTCCGTGAATACCCACCCAGGGGAACGTCTCAAAAACCCTGAGTTATGCAGACATGCCTCCATCGTCCATCAACTTTTCTCCGCGCGAAATGTAATCTAAGATATCTGCTTCCCAAGTGGAGTAGGTGCCCAGGCTACTCAAACTATACCAGAGAATACCAACAGGAGGCGGACCACAACACCTTCCATCGTTGGCTTGCGTTCATAGTTGCAGCTGCACTCTCGCAAGCGAAGTCTTGGCGCTCACAGAGCTCAATTCGTAAAACTCTGGCCAAAAATCGGAATCTCACGCCCTTCGAGGTTATATCCTTACTTTGCATCATCTTGTCAACTTGTCCTGATCCCCCTCATGTCCATCTCAAAGAACTGTCTCGCAGATTTGTGCGCCACGCTTTGTTTCCTCCGTCGGGTATAAATAATGGCGTGGGCGTGTATTTGGTGGTCAACTAAGGCCAGAGAAGGTCGGAGAGAGGTGCGGTCATTGGGGTGAGGATGTACTAGGTCGTACTTGTAGACTTGATGAGGCTTAGGTAGGAGTCAAACTCGTTAGGAGCGAGGAAACGACGTGATGGAGTAATTTGAATCATTGCCTCGTGGGCCAAATTCTTTGATATTGCGAAATTTGACTGAACTTGGCTCTTGGAGAATTTTTCACTCCCAGGTTCGTAGAGGACACCACGTACAGGTGTTCAGTCTTGCCCTTCCCCATAAACTTTCCAAAGGTTGAAAATGTCATGATTGCGCTTTTCACATCAGTAGTAAATTGTCATTCACGTAGTTTTGCCTGCAGAGCCAGGGAAATGGAAACAGGTTAGTGATAAATTAGATACCACCGATCGCTACACTCACCCGTAGATTACTCCTAAAAGAGACTAGCTACAGCGCTATCTGGAAGTATTTGGGATTGGTTAATTATCACGTGGAAACCCTGTAACATAACATAACAGTAATAACACAATAAGACACCATTCGCATCCTGTAACATGTATTGCCACAATCACCCAAGTATATTCTAAGCCCCCTGAGTAGCCACAACCATTTAATTGAAGATACCAAGTGTATACGACCATATACATCACCACCCTTCAATAGAAAACCCCTCGAAAATGACAATCCCGGCATGTCTTCAAAGACTTTTTCCCTTTCTCGTTTCACATCTCAGCCGCCCGTCCTTCCTCAAGATGTATGACCCTATTAGAGCTTTTGTCCCCCATAAACCAAGACCCCAACCTTGTATGTTATGACTTAATTTACTCCTTGCGGGTATACGTAGCGTCTTAAATTTGTAGTGAGTGATGGCCGGTAATCAACGAAGCAAGCGCCTATTTGCAATTGGGCTGACGCCTTTCTCGGTCGTTGAGGTGAGATAATGAGTGGTTAGAAAGAGGTTGAGAGCTCAGAGGATAATTGTTAGTGCTGCATGATTGAGAAGTCGTCAATTGGAGATATGCATGTGTTTGCTTTCGACTTCGATTCGGGTGCGATTCTTCTTGGCTATCCTAGATATGCAGAGCATACTGAAGGATTACACCGGCACCACTGGAAGGTGAAGAATTAGTCTTTGCCGGCTACCTTTCCGCTGTGTCCTCTGCGAAGCTTGGAGTGAAATATTCTCGTAGAGCCAAGTTCAGGCAAATTTTGTACGAAGAAAGTTGGCCCACGAGGCAATGTTCCGGAATACTCCGCTTAGTCAGGTTTTCTCTTCCAATGAGATCGACTTCTACTTAAGTCTCATCAAATCTACAAGTGTGACCAAGTACAATCTCATTTCAATGACCACACTTAGTATACGCCCGCGACAATACCAATACCCGCCGGAGGGCAAAAATCATGGCGAACAGGCTTAGGAGGCAGTTCTTTGGGATGGGCGTGGGACACATCGGGACAAGTTTACGATACGATGCAGAGGATGCAAAACATTGATACAATCATAACTGGCGTGAATTCTGGGAATTTGGTGGAGTGTACTACGAATTAAGCTTTGTGTACGCCAAGAATTCGCTTGTGGGAGGGCAGCTGACACTGTAAACGCTAGTCAACGATATATGGTCTCGTGATCCGCCTCCTGGAGGTGAACTCCGGTACAGTCTGAGTAGCCTGCGCACCTACTCCACATGGGAAGGAGACGCCTCAGACTACATTTCGCGCGGAGAAAAGTCAATGGATGATGGAGATATATTTAAATAACCCGGGGTTTGGCAGAATTTTCCGTGATTGAGTATTCACGGATGAGGGTTGACTTTGGTTGAAGAAAAAGCCTCCATAACTTCGCAGTGGTACTTGCAAATGAAATCCGAGCCACGAGTACTGCTTTCAAATTGGGTCATCTAACCTGTACTTTTTCCCTGATATTGTGTCATGGATAGCTAGCTGCATACGTAATTTAATCTAACGTAAAATATAATAAATAATAATAATCAAAGTATCGACCGGAACCTTAGCAGGGCCCAAGGGAGTAATGCAGCTCAGATAAAACGTGAGCACATCGGTCTTATTTCTCATCAATATCGAAGGAAAGTCCTCAGAGTGGTTAATCCATAAATATCAGTATGGATATGAGGCTCAAAATGTCAATGGCGTGGTCTTGGCGTGTCCTCTGTGGGTAAGGGGAAGATGAGGGGTGCTTCGATGGGCAAAAGATAGGTCCTTTGCGGCAATGATGAACAGCCCAGATGATGTGGAGAGAATCATAAAGTGAATCCTAGTTAAAGGATGGTTTGAACAGTTCCGGCTCGCAAGAGGGGTAGAGATGGCATTTGTTGGGATTGCCTTCTTTATAATCTATAC